TGCTGGCTGTGGCATTCCGTGACAAGGAATAAGCTTTACGATCATTATATAGTTAGATGTTGTACGATTTGCGGCGATGTAGATGACCAAACATATATCGGGCAGACCTCTAGGCTGAGCATATGCTTACCGTGTAACGGTATGGACAAACCATGGTACAAGGCGCAAGGAGGTGCAAAGAAGAGAGTTATCCATATAAGCAAGATACATTCGACTATCCCACCGAATATTTAACTCGGATGCCATCTCTCATGATTACAGAATAAGGGGACAAAATTGAAACCCAAATAGATATATCCACATTGCTGAACTCCAATGTCCCTAAAATAAATATGCAGAGACAATCGATCGCTTTTGATGTTCATACAGATTGTTCTCAGTCATTGTGCTTCCGCTTGAACTTCAGTCCAGCACCGTGCTTAGGCTGACTGCCGTACGTGCGGCGTCCTTGTTGCTCCTGCTTCTTATCGCGGCTGAGACTGGCGCCCAGCTGGATGTCAATGCGAGGTGGGGCATTGAATCCGAAGCCCTTGGCAACCTTGACGAGGTCAAGCTTGTTGACGTCGAACACGGTGCGAAGAGAGTGCGAGGCGTATGCTTGGAGATAAGAACGGTAACCATCCTTGGCAGACTGCACAAGTGGGTTAGTATAAGGTAACACATAAGTAATAAGGGAAGATAGCTTACCTTGTTGAGGTAGTAGTTCTGGCCGATGAGCTTCTCTAGCTGAGACTGCACATTGACAATCTTGGAGGCCGGGAACTCGAACTCCACGACAGGCACACGCGCGTCCTTGAGGTGCTTCAAGAAACCAACCTCGGAAGGCTGGAGGAACATCAGACTGCGACCCTTGCCTTCGGCACCACGGGCGGTACGTCCGACACGATGAATGTAGTCACGGGGATCATCAGGAGGGTCAAACTGGATAATCCAATCGACAGCAGGGATCTGGAATTTGAGTCAGTTATGGAATCAACGTGGTAATGGGGTTAGGGAACGTACATCCAGGCCACGAGCAGCAACATCAGTACAAATCAAGGTACCTTGCTTGGCATTGCAGAACTCGAAGAAAGTATTGGTCCGCTTCTGCTGCTTCTGCTTTCCGTGCAGCTCCAGAACGGGGAGATCGATGTAGTTCAAAAGCTCGGCATGGTACTTGACGCAATTGCAGCTCGAGAAGAAGACAATAATCTTCTTCTTGAGGTTACGCTTGAGGAATGAGAAGAGAAGCAAGAAACGCTTGTCTGCCTCACACACTACGTAGCCTTGTTCCAAACCCGCCACCGTGCTGTGCTCCTTGCTGTGGTCGACGTTAATGTAAAGCGGTCCGGGGCGTAGAGATATCCGGGCCAGATCCTCGACCTTGGTGGTCTGTGTGGCGGAGAAAAGCATAGTCTGACGTTCTTCTTTAGGCAGAATCCTAACAACCTGGCGCATCTCATCTTCGAAGCCGACTTCGAGAATTCGGTCAGCCTCGTCAATGACCAAGGTCTTCAGGTTCTTGAAGATGAATCCTTGGGTGTTCTGGAGGTGATCCAGCAAACGACCGGGTGTCGCAATAAGCAAGTTGACACCCTTCATCAGCTTCTCGGCCTCAGCGCGACGGTTGGCACCTCCAATAACAATACCGTATGTCTGCGAGTGGTGGGCCATGAGTTCACGGGCGACACCGAAGATCTGCAGTGCCAATTCGCGGGTAGGGGACACGACGAGAACACCAGTACCTGCATCAAAGGTTAGCCACCAGTCTCAATGGAAAGTAAATATCAGAGAAATGTGTGGGGAAAACTCACCGTTTCTGGGCTTGAAGCGCAGGGCGTGCAGCATCTCAATCGCGGGGAGCAGGAAGGCCAAAGTCTTTCCAGAACCAGTCTTTGCAGCACCGAGCACATCGCGTCCGGCAAGCAAAGGAGGAATGGTACGCTGTTGAATCTCAGTCATGGTTGTGAAGCCCATGTCGTTGATACCCTGCATGGTTTTCTCGGAAAGGTTGAGCTCAGTGAACTTCTGCAGCTTGCCCTCGGTCTGGGGCAAGCGGACATCTTCCAAAGTCGGAAGATCTGTACCATTCGCAGCCTCCGAGTCTTCAGCATCACTCTCCTCCTCCGCATCTACCTCGACATCTTCAGCGGCCTCGGCGTCGTCGCTCTCTTCCTCGGCGCTCTCTTCCTCGGCGCTCTCTTCCTCGGCGCTCTCTTCCTCGGCACTTGGTGAAGGGCTGACCTTGCGCTTCTTGGTAGTTTTCTCAGCCGAAGCCTTCGGGGTCGAAGCAACACTCTTTTTCGGGGTCACTGAAGGGCTGGATTTGGCTTCCACGGGCTTGGCGGCATCGCTCTCTGCTTTCGAGCCGTGCTTTCTCTTGCGCTTGTTGATGGACTTCGCGGTGTCCACGGGGCCAGGCATTTTGTTGATTGGTCCTGCGACAGTGTAATATTTGACACGGGAACAAATCAATCAGGGATTGTCTCGTATAACCTGGACCTTGTGCTTTGGAGGTCTAGATTATTGATCTTTGCGGGCGGAAATCATTCTGCTACTTTTTTTTTTCTGATCGGTAGAATATGGCAGAACTCCACATCACGTGTTGATAGACTCGATCAGTTGGTGCCTGAACAATGAGGCGGATATTATTGACCTGCTTACGAAGGCACCTACCTTGGGCACGAGGTTGGCCATCTCCTGTGGCATTGTTCCTTGCCTGGATGTGACACTTCAAGACCACAAAGATCACATGTGTTTCAAGTTTAAGGCTCCCGTATTTTGAAAATGATCAGGCATTTTTTACACCCGAGATGAAATGATGCCGAGCAGTGGGTTCCCCTTAGTGGAACAAGGACGGGATGTTAGTCTGAAGGCTGTGCAAGGCTGGGCAAGGCTACGTTGGCCTCAAGTTAGGCAACTGAGATATTGTATGTATGTTGTATGACGTGTGTTAGTGCCTGCTCGGTTTTTGTCTTATTCCAAGGGCTGGGCTGCTTTGTCTTTGTCTAGGGGCAATGGTCTTCGATATCCTTGCTCCGACAGAGTCTCTGTAGTTATGCATGAATTCTGACTTTAAGACCTGTTGTAGGTACCAGCCAAGCCGGGTTTCTATTCCTGAAGAGCCGATAGGAGCCATTAGCTAGCTTGACAGTCTAGAAGTTAACTACAGAGTAGTAGTGTTAGCTAAACCACTAGCGGAAGACATTTAGGGATATATACTCCGTACCCAGAAACCTCGAGGAAGGCTGGGCAAAGAAATATCTCAAAAACACCACCAAGCCACTCATGATGGAGTATTCTTGCTCCCTACAAATTGAAGCTTCAGACTGAAGACAAGTATAAAATTACAAACAAAGTGATATATAACCTCAGTGCTCCATACCTTGAACGAAATCCAATTGCAGCCAAGGCAGAGATTTCTGGCCAATGATATTCAATGATTCAACCACGAATCAGATAATGTCGGTGGAGCCAAAAATACAAAATACTTTGGGTGCCAAGATAAGCTTATCCTAGTTAGGTTAGATCAATGTGCTAACAGTATTTACCTTATGGGAAGTTTCTGTTTAGTTCACACCTAGAAAGGTATGCAAGCCAGCTATACAACTTCTAGCTCGACCACCCATACTTTAAGCGCGTCGAAATATAACTAGCACTAGATCGTACAATGGTCCTGGCATCTCGAGGTCCCTTTATTGTAATTTGTACCACAAATTTTATACATCGTTGAGGTCAGAGATTATACGGGAAATGAAGAGGTTATGACGCGCACATGGAAATAGTGATCGTTCTGATCATCATTTCCTGGTGATCAGGGGATGTTGAATAATAAAACAAATTTGTAATAAAAGGGGGAGGGGATATGATTTGACACAATCATACCAAGCTCACGAATGGTCCATGCATATGGAGGTTACTTTATTTCTGAAACGTGTGAGCCGAGATGAAGATGCTAAACGAGGCTGTGCAATTGTGTGAACGCTATTTAGTAGATTTCCATGTTTCCATGTAGATCCTTATACCATGCATCTGCAGTCTATTGATGATATTTTCTCTTGTGTCTTCTCAAAATTAATAGAAAAGTATACTATATCATGTGTATTACCATTGGAAGTGCTCTGGAATTGTAATGGTAGAAATAGAGTCCAACGGTCTTCCCGGCTCTAGAACCCTAGAGTAGACTAAGAACAATAATGTCTACAAAGTACTCCATAGTTAATGAGCTCTCGCTAGTATTTCATTAGTGTTCGGAAAGGCTTACCCCCGGATCTAGAACTAAGAAACATAAAAATTCGGCAAAGATATCAGCCAATGACTCTTAGCTCTCCTTCCATTTTAGTGTTTATCTCTTGCCGCCTTTTGCTCAGAGTAAAATCGAGCACGCCCCTGTTGTATCACTGACTGCGCGCCTGATCGTCCCCGCACCCACTAAGTCACCCGTACCGTGCGGTTAAGCAACCCATTTACCTTTCCCACTCAGCCAACGTGGAGACTAGCCAAAATAAATCAGAGCTTTTGACTTTTTTAGTTTGCTATGATTAAGCCCCAAGAAAGATTCCTCTCTGACAATCAGGGCTATTTCGGCCCCAAAGAGAACCCCTTAACCGAAGCCCATTGCAACATCTGGGATTGGGATCAACTACGGATGATCAAGGTCAAACGCAGCGCCAAAGTGTTACCGCTAGAGGAGAACCAAGAGTGCCTCATTCTGGCGCAATTCGCCGATCATCTGTCACCGCAAGTTCGCTCAATTACAGTCCACGATGATGGGCTTCTTACTGAAGTCTCAATGGATCCAAAAGAGGATGACACTTTATTTGTTGCATAACTTCCCTTCTTGATGATTAAAGCGCTCCCTCGTTGCTGCTTGCCAATTGCCGTACAATCTATTACTCTAAACTCGAAGAAATTGATCGACTTGGACCAGGCGTTGATCTTTTATCCTATGAAGACGAATCTGGGACTCCTCAGAGGGTTGCCTTTAAATTCAACGTGATACAAGGCCTTTAAACATCCGGATGGCCTGGGACGAAATCAACATCCTCAAGGCTCTGCCGTCGCATCCTAATATAGTACCACTTGATCGTGTTGTTCTCGAAGACGTGGAATCTCGGGTGATAGGATTCGCAACAAAGTATATTCCAGGCGGAACTCTCGCCGATCCAACCAATCTGAATGTACCGTTCCGATTTGAGTGGCTACAACAGCTTACCCGACTTGTGGATTTCCTAAATCTCGAACCAGGGATCATGCATCAAGATATTGCACCCCGGAATCTACTTATCGACCCTGATACAAATAAGATTCTTCTCTTCGACTTCAACTGGGCCGTATCTGGAAAAGAACGCTTGCTAGATAGCCGCGATGATGGGACTGGCGTCGTATTCACGCTATACGAGATTATCACAAACGATACGCACTTCACGAGCATTCCCCACTGGGATCAACACATGGACATGGTTCAGAGTATATCGGAGTGGACTTGCAACCGTGAACTTGACTCTGACGTATCGAAATCCCGCACCTTTTTGAATGAATGGGTTGCGAGACGCAATGGGGACATGGAAAGATATATCAACGCACCGAACCGACTTACATGGCCGGACCTGCCAACCCCGCCCGACCATAGTGTGCCTTTCCAGCTAGGCAATACCCGGGATGGAGAGCCATATATGAGAACAGGCGTGCGGTCTCGGCGCACCGCAATGAAGCTGGGGCAGTGTTGCTCTCGCTGGGAGAGGCCACCTCGGAGCAGGTTGTTGAAAACGGCCAAAAATGAATTATGTATTTGATGTATGAGCCGCGTTCAATCGAATCAAAATCGGATTTCATAGGCTAGTTCTGCTTGATTCTTTAGCATAGTAAACAAAATTCTTGAATCATCTGTACGGAGTACACATTGTCCATCAGCACCAACCTCCCCATACTTCTAATCACGTGATATCGAGCAAGTCATCTCTCCGGACTGAAAGTTACTCAGGCCAATCCAGAAGCGCCCTCATAAAAGCGGCAGCTAAGAGGCCCCACCCGACAGAAGAAATTCACAAAGTACTCCGTCTCCGTATGGAGTAGGCAGCGACATAGAGGTGTGGACCTGGGAATCTGAAATCTAAATTTGATTCATCATTAGCGAGGGACAAGGCAGACGAAATACTTACGCAATGCCCAGGAGAGTAGAGTACAACATACATTATATTAAGTTGATATTGAAAGTTACCATTGTAGTCTGTAGTCCGTACGTGGCGGTCCACTGTATGCGGCACACTCCACAGCTGGGGGCAACCGTTCCTTTGGCGCAGTGTAATACTTAATATTGGCATTATCCCGACTTTTGTCTTCTGCTAATAATAAGACCAAGGGCCAAGGACCCGCCTGATTCCGCCACGATCCATCAACCGCTTTCAGTAGCGTTAGTACGCGTATACCGAAAGTGAAGAGGTTGGTTTCTTTGACCGGAGAATCGAGGATTAGATGCATATAAATAGTGTTAGTGGAGTGAAACAATAAAGGGCAGAAGGGGAGGACACTAAGTGAAACATAGAGGAAGCCTTGAAAGTGGCATGAAGGGGGGTGCCAGTGGGTGGACATACGAAACAAACTCAAACACAAATACCGGCAAATACCACACTGTGATTGGCTGTCCGATAGCCGCCCCTGTGGTGGTACAATACCATACCACATACCTTGCCAGTGGAATGGGCGACGACCTCGAATGTCTTTCAAATGTTCCCACGGACCCTTGTCGACTGTCCCTGAGTGAACAACCCGTGGACTCTTCCCTCTCACCCTCGTTCTCTCATTGTCTCTCTTTTTTTTCTTCTTCTCTTCTGGAATCTAGGGACCGTTTGTCTTCACCACAAACCACTTTCTACCATTTCGAGCCTATTACTCCTTTACTCCTTTTTTTGGCCATACTGTGTATCGCCAGTCCACTCACTCTCGACCACTTCGCCTTTTCGCCCTACTCGGCCGTACTCTCATTCAGGCTATACACTCTCGTTGATCTACCAATACAGCTTCTTTCGATTCCATCAACCCCTTTACAACTACTTGTACGCCCCGCTTATATTCAAATGCCCCAGTGAAAGGCAAAACACCTGGATTCAACCCTAGCTTTCCGACAATTTGCGCCAAAACATACAGCACAGCCTCCGTCTGCAAAGAGACATCGAGGAATAAGTCGACCCCACGGCTATCCAACAATAGTCCGCCGTACCAAAATTTCCGCATCCGGCGGCTGGCAACGTGGTACTCTGGAGTGCCACTGACGGTACCTGTCAGATTTCCCCTCGCCCTGGTATACCACTGGCAACCTACCCAGTGCTTCACAACCTCCTCCTTATATCGAATATACACCAACATGCGGGTAATATCTCTTCTCACCTGCTTCGTCGCCTTTCTGGCGCCGCTAGCCTCTGCCGTCCAACTCCTTGAATCCAATGCACTCAGCGTGTGCATGGAAAGTAGCAACTTCACGGCAACATATTTCAGCGTCATCTTCTACCCAGGAAATAACTCCCTCGTGGTCGGCTTCGATGGCGTCTCATACATCGAGGGTAAGGTTATTGCGGAGATGACCTTCACCGCATATGGCTACCAGGCATATCAGAGCACCCTTAATCCTTGTAAAATTAGTGGCATGGGTATGTGTCCCATGTCCGCTGGACCCATGGATTTGGGTCCACTTTCTCTCGACCTCCCAGCAGGCACTTCAGCCAATATCCCTGGTATCGCCTTCAGTGTGCCTGATCTCGACGCAAAAGTGCGGATTGTCATCAGGACAGCCGACACCGAAGAAAAGATTGCTTGTGTCGAGGCCTCACTTTCCAACGGCAAGACCGTTAATCAATCCGGAGTCTCGTGGACAACTGCTGTTATATCCGGGTTAGGTCTCGCTGCATCCGCTATCACCTCCGGCCTAGGGCATTCCAACACCGCAGCCCACGTTGCGGCAAATGCGCTCTCTCTTTTCGGATTCATGCAGTCCCAAGCGATTATTGGCATGACCTCCGTTGATATGCCCCCGATCGTGGAAGCTTGGACCCAGAACTTCCAATGGAGCATGGGTATCATCCGCGTGGGATTCATCCAGACGATTGCTACCTGGTATCAGCGATCAACCGGTGGAACTCCATCGACAGTCCTATCACAGCTTTCGGATACTTCTGTGGAAGTCCTCAGGCGCCGTAAGCGTGCCTTGGTTGACCCGGCCATGAACCTCATGAGGAGAGCCGTGGGACCAATGATTGTCAAGCGAGGAAGTGGTATAGTCAAGAGAGCCGAGACAAGCCAGAAACTTCTTGTCATCCGAGGAATTGATCGTGTTGGATTCCGTGCGGACATGGAGGATACCAACATTTTCCTCACTGGCCTGATTTTCTTTGCGGTATTCACCTGCATTGTCGTCATCATCGTTGCACTCTTCAAGGGAATTACTGAGTTACTTGTCAAGCATGGCAAAATGAAGAGCGACCGGTTCCAGGACTTCCGCAATGGGTGGAAGATCGTACTGCGTGGTATCTTGTTCCGATTGACTCTCATCGGGTTTCCCCAGATGTCTATCCTTTGCCTCTGGGAGTTCACCCAGCGTGACTCGCCGGCCGAGATTGTTTTGGCAGCGGTCATGCTCCTTTCCATGCTCGTCTCTCTTGGTTGGGCCTCTCAGAAGGTCATCCGTTTGGCAAAGCGTTCAGTTACCATGCACAAGAACCCGGCATATATTCTTTACTCCGACCCAACCTGTCTGAACAAGTGGGGTTTTTTGTATGTGCAGTACCGAGCAACGGCATACTACTTTGTCGTTCCGTTCCTCGTCTACACCTTGATCAAGGGTATGTTCATCGGTCTGAGCCAGGAAGCACCGGTCGTTCAAACAGTGGCTTTGGTGGTCCTTGAGCTAGGCATGCTTGTTGCGGTCTGCATTCTCCGTCCTTGGATGGATAAGAAGACCAACGTTTTCAACATCTCCATTGCGGTGATCAATTTCATCAACTCCATCTTCCTGCTCGTGTTCTCGGATGTGTTCGACCCACCCGGAATGATGATCGGTGTTATGGGTGTCATTTTCTTCGTTTACAATGCCGTGTTTTCTTTGGTCCTCTTGATCTTGGTCCTGCTCGCCTCGATATATGCCGTTGTGTCAAAGAATCCCGACACTCGTTACCAGCCTATGCGCGACGATCGTGGCTCGTTCATCAAGTCCCAAACCCAGCTCACCACTGAATTGGATGCCTTGGGTGCTACCGCACGTGGTGATATGAAGCCTGGACAATATAATAATAACAACCCATTCGACGACGATAGCGCTTCTATCTCCAGTGGAAACGGTGCTACCGTCGGCCGCCCAATGGAATCGACCTACTCCCTGCACGGGTCTGCCGCCCAAGCGCCTCGGTCACCCGTTGACCCATCCGTGCCACTGTTCCCCAGCAACGCGTCAGGTCATCACAATCCTCCCCCCGGATACGACCATTACGGCCGGTCCCCTTCACCCGCGCCAAGGAGCTTTGATAACACCTCTCCTGTTGGCCAATCTGCTTTGTCAACGACATATCGAGCCCAGAACAGTGCCAGTCCTTGGCAACGAGGCGCTGGCTATGATCATTAAAAAATGCCATTGGTCTCTTATTTTGTCGCTTCCGAGATGAAGATATGTGATTTTGTTTTAGCGCGGGATACCGATGGTCTATGATTTTTCCATTCGCCATTCCTCTGGGTTCGGGTTTCTTTTCTCTTCTTTTTTTGCTTCTGCGCACCGTCTGCAGCATCCTCGTCGCTCAGATAAACTTCTTTTCTTAATCCACTCCATTTCTTAATGGTTGTGCGCCTTTTTTTGTCATCTATCCCTTCCTTTCCCTTTACTTCTTCTCCTCGCTTCTTTTCTCCTTCTCTCTCTCCCTAAATCCTTTTGCCGTGTCTTTCCCTTGTTTTCACTTCCGCTGGGCGTTCTTTGATGCATTTGGGTATGGTGATTGGCCTTGGGGGTTCTCGTTTCTTTTTGTTGGCTTTGCACTATGTCTGCTGCCGATGAAATATATTCCAATTTCTCCGGTCGTCACCTGGGCAGCATCTCTCACTTTATACACCAGTATTCTGGAGATAATCCTAGTGTAAATATGAAACCGATGTCTACATGGATGTGGATGTCGAAGTTTTTCTTTTGCAAGTTTCAGTGCCATGTATATCGTAAAGAATTCAGACGCCATGTCTTTCGAAATCGACTAGAAACCAAGTGACAATTTTGTACGAAACAGAACGTACGAACAGAACAGTAAAGAGACGTAAAAAAAGAAACCGCTATTTTACACTAACAGTAAAGAGCAAAAAGACCCATGAGATGTCATGCCATGCCGACGATCCGCACGGGAAAAAAAAGGTATCAGAAACAATCCACGTGCGAATCAACCCCAAGATCGTGATCATAATCACCACCGTTGATCCATCCCACCAGGAGGTCCACCTCCAGGGGGAGGAGGATATCCCTCCAAGCCACGGGGGCCGGTAGGAATAGGCGATGGACCACCCGGCGCCATACCGTGCTGACCAGGAATAGGCGGGAAGCCAGCAACGCCGGGCGGGGGGATGGGGAAGTTCGGGAAGCCACCAGGGGGCGGTATCGGGAAGTTTGCGCCCTGGGGCATGTTGGGGAGAGGCGGGGGGAAGCCGCCTGTTGGCGGGGTTCCGGTGGCGTTAGGGAAGGGCGGCGGGAAGGGAAGGCCGTGGGCTGGGTAAGAGGCATAGTCATTAGCTTGGTATGATCCTGGGTAGGCTAGATATCTTTGGCTGGGGTCCTCGGGAAGCCAGAGTGGGGGTGGGTGTGGAAGTGGGTGTGACATACGAGGGAGCATGCCTGGGGCGCCGGGGGCGCCTGGTGGAGGGATACCGAAGGGAGGAGGGGGCATGCCTGGTTGTCCTAGTGGCGTTAGCTTGATTTCGGTTTCGGGTTGGTGTTCTGGAGTCCCGGGAGGAAGAGCCATAGTCATACCAGGGAATCCGAAGGGAGGAGGGAAAGCGCTGGGGGCCATCATGTTGGGGGCTTGTTGGCCCTCTGCGGCGTAGGAGGAGGTAATGGAGTCGATGACGGACTGGGCCTTTTCTTGGCCGATCTCTGTATGGGTTCACATGATTAGCTATCATTCAGTTGTTGGGTTGGGCGCCTTGCTGCGCCATCGGTCAAACGTACGTTGGTAGTAGTCCACCACGTTTCTCAGGTGGTTTCGACCGGAGTTATGCGCCTTGCGTACGCTCATCGAGTCGTGTGTCAGGTAGACATCACAGTAGTCGCCTAGAAGTTGAAGTGAGGAGTCAGCAATATGTCGATGGATGGGCTCAGCCGGCCGCAATGAGGCGCATAGCCTCGTGTCGCATCATGCCCGGAATAGGCTATGACACTGTCTAGATGTGGATTTGCGGCAAAACCTACAGAAGAGTGCATGGGAAGTTAGCTTTCAGTTGCAAATATAGAGACCAGAGGCTACTTATATTTGGGCATATTGCCGGTTTCTGCAGCAAGTACCTTGCTGTCGTCGCGCGAAAAAGGAAAATTCCCTTTCGGGATGGGTCTCGTTCAGAGACGAAGATCTTGGCTAGCAGAAACTGTCCTGATTTTCAATAGCGTAGTTTGAGGTAGAATCTCGGAAGTAAAACCTCGGTGACGCAAATAAGAGAGAAATTGAGATAGTAGGATCGGCAAGTTGTTAGGAGCTCGGTGGTGAGGGTTGTCGGGCGGTCTGAAGTGGCAAAATAGTGGCTTATCGGCTCTCCAACAACCTTGACAAGACAGCGCATCTCTCGGCAAGGGCGTGAATTCTGACCGAAATAATGATGTCAATTCCAACTTGCTAGTAAAGTTGCTCCATCAACTCCATATTAGCACTTGAAATTGAGGCAGAAATTCCCTTCGGCGAAAAATATACGATATTCATTCACTCATTACTACACTTGCACACTCTGCTATTCCGGGCATGGCAATGAACCCTCAAGTCTAGGGCTGTGTCTAAGTTGAATTGTTAAACAGTACCATGAACAGTCAAGATATGACACTTCTGCTTTCTAATGCCAGCCTTGATGCCATACTTGCGCACACCTGGCAAGACTGATGGCTTTACAGTCGGTTGTTGTAAGTGAATAGATTGGATTGTATTGAACTGATTTACATCCCAGAGCAAGCTTCAAACTAAGAGTAGTAGCTTAAACCAATTATCCTCGAGAGAGCCGGTTCACATATCCCACTTGCTTGCGACAGCCGGGGACAAGACGCCATGAACAACTCCCCCCTGTTCTCTCAGATTCAAAACTTGCTCACCCTCTTCATGCTCAATCTCAAGTTTTCCGTTATCCGCGCTCCGAGCGAATTCCACGATCATTTGGAGCAAGCTGGCAAACTTGCCCAAAGCCGGTTGCTGGGTCTCCTCCCACTGCTTCACATCATCCCGCACGTCGCGAACCTGAATATGCTTGAATCGACCAGCTGTATGGTGGGCTAGAATGAAGTTGGGAGTCCGCGAAATCCACAACCGGGGCAGTTCTTCCTCAATAATGTCACTGCCCTTTTTAGCGTGAGATCGAGTCTTCAGGTCAAAGACTGCACACTGTGGAATGCGCCGGCCTTGTCTTGCAATGTCAAGCTGCTCCGGTGCCATTTCTGTAATGGCAGAGGGGTAACCTGAAATTGTCACTTTCTCGATGGACAGCAAAGCTTCTGGGTCGATACTATCCTTCGGGGTAACAGGATGTCCTTCGGTTTCGGTATCCAGGACCAGGTCGGGCAAAAAGCCGTCCCCTTCAAAACGTACCAAGCACTGCATTCCGGCAAAATCATACTTCATCACCCGTTGGTGGGACAGGGATCCGCCCACACTTGCATTCCACGTGGTGTATGCTTCCGGGAAAGTATGCCCATAACCGTGAATATCGGGAAACACCTCAGTGGGCGAATTTTCCCTTCTGATGAAGAATACTGTCTTGCCGAGTACCTCAACTAGCATCCTAAAGGGCTTACCCTGCCCAGATGCAAAGCGTCGCAGGTTCCCCATTGTACTGTTGCACCCAATGATGTCCACACTGGTAATGGGGAACTCGGGGTTGTCTGTGAGTATTGCTTGTACCATTGGCTCCAGAGGATAGGTGGGGTATCGTGCGGCATTTCGATCACGGTAATAATCACCCCTGTCTTGTGGAAGCGCGGGAGAATCGGACAGAGGCGTCCACTTTGGTGGTTCACCTAGGAATATGTCAGTTAACGCAATGGTAATAAACAGTGCCTTGGTTATCGGAAATTATCCTCTTACCTGGAACGATTATCTTTCTCTTCTTCCCACCAAGCCAGTTGTAGGATGTCAGATATTGACTGTTCGTGATTCGAGATATGTCTTCATCTTGATCAGGTGCCGGACTCTCGATTTCATTGTGGTAGATTGTGACAATGATATCTCCTAGCGGAGGTGCTGGTGAACTGGTCTGGGCTGCATATACTCCCCCTCTTTCTCTCCATTGTCCTCGTCCTCGTCCTCGTCCTCGTCCTCTTCCTCTTCCTTGTGGAGACATCGTGGTAGACTCTGATGGTCAGGAAGCAGCACGACGAAGTATGTGTATGTAGGCAGAAGAACAATCAACGACAGATACAAAAAAAGCCTTAGGTACTTTTTGTTTGTTGTCTCACGTTATGCTGCGGGGGCATAGACCCCTGTCGCCACGTCACATACTGTGCTTCATGCATTGGTCTATTCCTGCGCATTCTTGCGTTTGTTGGGTTTTGCTGCGCATAGCCCAACTGCGCATTATCAGCTAAAAGCCTACAAGGCAGACTGCATCTGCATTAGTCTCACTGTGCTCTGCTTTGTTGGCAATGCAGAATCTAAACTGTTTCTTATCTCTCGACTCTGATATCTTTCTACACCTTTTATTCTATCTGTCTCTGCCACTTTGATCTTGCAATCTATGTTAAGTCTCATTCGCTATCATGTCTCAAAATATTCGATCGGAGCGACTGGCCAAATATTTCAAAGAGGTTGTCCAGGGAAAGCACGAAGTCCAGGATCAGAACAGTTTCAAGCGATTTATCGAAGCAACCTTGGACCAGGGTGACCCCAGCATTGTCGTTCAGCGAATCATCTCAAGCCAAAGCGCTCTGAATGCCTTGCGAAATGGACTGAGGTTTAACCTAACCCCGACCTTCATCAACGGGTACACCGCGAAGTTTATTCAATACCTGAACCACCGCGAAGTCAAGCTCCTCTGCAACGGCCAATTTCTCGAGCAGCTTCTTCTGATTATCTTGGAGCCGCGCACCCTCTGGGGTGCATTTCTGGAGGCGTTCCGTACTCGCAAACTGGAGGATCATGCGACCCACACTCTATGCTGGTTGATGGCGGAGTTGCTTTCGTTGCCTCCCTCTTGTAGGGTGGACGTTAGAGCTGATGCTCAGACTGTTTTGAAGGATGGGTCGCTTTTCTCTTCCCCCTCAGTTGACATACGAAACTTGGGCCACAAGATTAGATATCTTCTGGAGATGAAATCACATGCAACCACCGTCGAAGACTCTGAGATCACTGCAGGTGGTCGGCACGATAATGATTTTGCTGATTTTCGCTTGACGGCCATCCTTCCCACGGCCGATGAGATGGGATGTACGGAGAAACCCTTTTATCGCCGTGCTGAAGACATCGCACAGCTGTCCAGTGGCCAACGCATTGCCGGCCATGTTGACAATCAGTTTCGCCTTTTGCGAGAAGATATGCTCTCGGAGCTCCGCGAAGACTTGCAAATTGCAACAGGCACAAAGAAGGGGCGACGCTCGGCTTTCCACTTGAGAAATCTCAATCTTTCTCATGTCCGCTGCACTGCTAGAACCCCAAACTACCTCCGACCATGTACGATCGGCGTGACTGCCCAATATGGCCTTGAAAAGCTCAAGAACCTCTCAGAGGATGCTCGCAAAGCCTTCTTAAACAGCACGCCTCAGTTTGTGAAGCATCGTGCTTTTGGTTGCTTGGTTAGGGACACAGATATCGTGGCTTTTGCCACAATCGAACGAGAAATTGATGAACTGTTATTCAAAATGCCAGTTGTTATGCTGCGTATTACAGGTGAAGAGGCCCTTAAAAAGTCATTACTTTACCTGAAACTCTACAATGACGTGGAATTCCTGCTTGTTGACACAGCAATGTTTGCATACGAGCCAATTTTGAAGGGCTTGCAGGAGAGGATTGAGTTGCCTCTCACAGAGGAGTTGTTCCTTTACGAAAAAGGCCAGCCGGTGCAGGATTCAAGCCTAGTTCCTCGGAATTTGGTCAACATGCTGGAGGAAGAACGCGGATGTAATATCCAGCGCACCCTGAAAACCTCGATGTCAGTGACATTGGACTCTTCACAGTTAGATTCTCTGTTGGCTGGGTTGACACAGAGAGTGAGTCTTATTCAAGGTCCCCCAGGTAAGATCATGTGGATCGTCTCATTATCCTCCCACTATCATTTTAGTATCCTCTCATGATCTTCTCATTTCTATAACCAAGGACATTAAACTGACAGTATGAGCTCTAGGTACCGGCAAGTCGTTCATAGGTGCTCTTCTCGCAAAGGCCCTGCACGATAATTCGAAAGACAAAATCCTGGTTATGTGCTACACAAATCATGCCTTGGATCAGTTCTTGGAAGACTTACTAGACGTTGGTATCAATCCCTCTACTATCGTCAGACTCGGGTCCAAGTCTTCACAACGAACCGAGCCGCTTGGGTTGTTTAAGCAGCACTCGTCCTACCGTAGGGATCAAACCACCTGGAACACAATTCATTCACTCGAAGCGGTCGCAAATGAACAAAAGGACAATTTGAATGACTCCTTCCAAGCCTACAAGAATCTCACAGCTAATGCTACATCTATCTTGGACTATCTGGAGTTTGAAGAACCAGAATACTTTGCAGCTCTGACCGTACCGGAGCCGGAGGAACCAAACAGCATGGCCGTGGTCGATAATAGTGGAAAAGCAATTCGAAAAGACTACCTTTATCACCGATGGATCCGCAACCAGGATGCAGGGGTATGTTCTGATCTTCTTCCCGCTCATTGTCACGACATCTGGGCACTCGATCAGAAAATACGGGAGGAGAAAAACAGCTCTTGGAAGAAAGCTCTGCTGAGTGAACAGGCGGAGTCTTTGGGCGTTAGCATAGCATTGTTCAACAAAAGCCAAAGCCAACTGAGCGCTACCCTGGGTGAGAAAAACCGGGAAATCTTGAAATCAAAGCGAATCATCGGCTGCACCACTACAGCGGCGGCAATGTATTCCGAGGACATTCGACATGCTTCCCCTGGCATCGTGCTTCTTGAAGAAGCGGGTGAGATCCTTGAGTCGCATGTGCTCACCGCAATGACACCGGAGACCAAGCATTTGATCTTGATAGGAGATCATCAGCAGCTACGGCCAAAAATCAACAGCTACAGCTTGAGCACAGAGAAAGGCGATGGCTATGACCTGAACGTCTCCCTTTTCG